TTCCCCTTCATGTCAGTGGAAAACATGAGACTGGGAAGGCGCAATGGGTTGCTCTCTTGGAAATTAGTATCAGCTATGCCGAAGGAAGTCAAAAAGGTCTAGCTGTTTATATTTGCCTGTCCATCTGTCTGTCTACATTTGTCTACATTTGTCTGTCTTTCTGTCTTCCTGCATGTCTATTTACCTGTCTGTCTGCCTGTCCACATTTACCTTTTCATTTGCCTGTTTACTTTTGTCTGCCTGTCTTCATGCCTGTCATCCTGCCTGTTTACATTTGCCTGTCCATCTGTCTGTCTGCGTTTGTCTACTTCTGTCTGTCTGTCTGCGTTTGTCTACTTCTGTCTGCCAAAATTTGCTCGTCTGTTTCACTATTTGTCTCTCTACGTCTGTCGACATTTGCCTGTCTGTCTGCGTCTATCGTTGTCTTTCGGCTTGCCTTTCTGCCTGCCTGTCTGTCATTTCTTTCCACCCCCCACTTTGTGCAGACTGCAAATAATTCAAAAATGCACAACACCGCATTCTGTTGCAGCTGCTGCTGTGTTGTGTTGTTAATCCCGCTTCTGCTATCGAATTTATTGTTGGCAGTGATGCTGTTTTACAGCGAGGCAATCAAACATTGCAGACTGTAGCGTCGACAAGCAGTCAGACACACAGAAACAGAGACACACAAAGGACTAAGAGAAAAAGGGGGGAAAGAAGAATAAAATACGAACACATAGACAGAAACACATGTATACACACAAATTGCACACATACACACAGTCCTATATCCATAGATATACATCACGTGTACGCACACACACACAAAATATGTGTGTGCGTGTGTGTGAGAGAGAGAGGAGGGATAGAAAGAAAGAAACTGATTTAAGTATATAACCGTATGTACTCAAATATACATTAGAACGTTACATAAATACGCCATTTAAAACTATGTAAACCTACCCGATTTTTAAAAATATCTGCATACGTATACATAAATACATACTTACCTCGAGTGGCTTTAGTAAAAGCCGTAGTAGTAGATATTGGACCCTTTATCAAGCTGCTTCTATGTGCCGTGTCCCTTCAGGACGTGATCGATCATGGCCCATGACTGCTACCTTTCCTACGTATATCGAAGCAATAGTCTGTCTTTTTTACTATCCCTCCTCTTCTTTGTTCTTCCATATCCATTTACACGAGCTCATTTGCTGCTTGCTTCTGTCCTTCAATATGTCTTGTGTCAAAATTTCCTGGCTTTCTTTTCCCACTATGAGTCAGAGAAATTTCAACTGTCTTCTAATTTTGCATAAGTGTCATTTTCGTTTCTATTTTCCGTACAATGTTCTCATTTCTTACATGGTCCGTCTATGGTATTCTCACTATCCTTCTCTAGGACAACATCTCTGTTGCCTCAAGTCTTCTCTTCATCTGTGAGGAGATTTTCCAGCATTTACTGCCATAGAGGCTGATTGATATTACATTACAGTTCAGCCTTCTTTTCCTTGTTTTTAACAAAGTTTTCCCGTTTCTTAAAACTTTGTGTAGTTTTTGAAAGGTACATTTTCCGATTACAATGTGCCTTAAATATATTTTAAAAAAGATTTTCCATTGAATATTTTTCTTTCTATCACAATCTATTCTCAATTATCGGAAGTATCATGCACACACACACACACATATATATATATATGTATATATATATATATATAACCAGCTTTCCTTGACGAAACCTGGGTAGGTTTGTCTGGCCCACTAGGTTTATCTAGGTCTGCTCTACGGTTGTATTGAGCTCTTGAGTTAGTTGTTTACTCGTGTCGGGTTATTTTCTTTGGGCTTCAAACCTGTATCTGTGCGATTTTTTTTCGACAGATTTTCATGTTTCTAGCTCTTTCGTTTTTAAAACCTTTTTTTCCTTCGAGATTGATTAGATTATTGGCAAATCAAAATTCGAATGTTTTTCGAAACGAGTATAGTTACCTATATATATATATATATATATATATATATATATATATATATATATATATATATATACTCCCCGTCGAATTCGACGTATGAGGGTCAAGCAGATCAGTTCTAGGAAACCGACAACCCGACAACGGCACATGAGACTTGATGATAGTGGTGAAGGTTTCGTGCAGGACCATCCACACTTTTTTGAAGGGCCGAATACAGAGACTTGGTGCATTACGTGCCACGAGATTCCCAAAACAGGTTTTGAATTCAGAGTTGTCCTTCTCCTAGACCAGTTGCCATCCAAGGCTATAGAACCCAGTCTGTCCCACTATTTAACCATAGCTGGAGGGAGAAGAGGAGGATTCACACCTTTTCCAAGGTTATTAGCCCGTAAGTGAATGTAATGGATTCGACTGAATTCCAACTCGATATATATATATATATATATATATATATATATATATATATATATATATATATATATATATATATATATATATATATATATATATATATATATATATATATATATATATATATATATATATATACATATATATATATATATATATATATATATATATATATATATATATATATATATATATATATATATGAAAAAAAAACCAAAAACCGTTGGTAGAACCAACGGCACCTTGCCAAAACCAAAAACTCTTATCCAGATAAAGTCTCCAATAAAACCGACAATACTGAGAAAAGAAAAAAGAAAAACAGGCTTAATGGTAACCTTACCTGCTCAGTAAAGTGCTCGAAGCCCAGATCGCGTAGGCCGAGCAAAAATACTTGCAAAAGTTAAATTATCTGAAAAGATCGCTCTACTCATAACTCGAGTTTCACACTGCCGCGATCTTCAGTCAAATTATATGATTTTTTCGGAATTAATACATTTTTTTGTGAACAAAGTTGCCTTCGTCTTCTTCAAAGTAATTTCTTTTGGAGTGTACCTATTTCTTCCAGTATTATTTCTATTTTTCAAAACATCCTTCAAAATTCTCTTTGAAGATGGCCAAAAACTACCTAATCACGTTCTCCTTAATCTCACTCACAATTTGAAATTTGCTTTTAAAAGGCAGTTTTAGGTTAAGGAAAATCTAGAGAAGCAACCTTCATGGATGATGAGATGTTCTGCCGATCCCATTCATAAGATATGAAGAATGAAAAGAAGCGATATACAAAATGCAGACTTTCCAATTCTCGTCAGCGGTTACTTTTGATTTAAAACCGAAGATTAGTATTTCTAGATGTTCTAGTTGAAGAAAATTTGCCAGAAAATAAATCACTTTCAACAAATTTCAAACCAACTTAAGCAAAACTGCCAAATTTTCATATAAGATTCGTTAATGGAATCCACCCCAAACTTTCTTAAACATTTCGATAGATTCCGTGAATGAATGTCCAAGCCTTAAGCAACATTTAATGCATATACGCCATGATGTTATGGTTATACAACTTTATTTAATCCTGGTTGATTGCCGACTAAATCAACTCACGAAAAGGTGTGTCTGTTTTTGCAGATCGATCGACTGCCAACGTACATCAAGACCACGCAACCAATTCTCCAGATATTCCGAATTAATTTACATTTTCCAGAAAAACCTTTACTTAATGCAAAAAGCGAAGAGAATTTCAGAATAGATCTTAACTTATAGATTATCAGAGATAAAATATTTTTGCAAGCGACGCTAAAAGAACAACCTCTTCTTTTCTAAGGTCAGTCTATTCGTTTTGCATGACAAATGTAGATCTTCAATGTCGCATATTTGAGATGAAATAAAAATCAGTTCGAACATAAGTAAAGTTTACTTTCGTTAAAAGCATAATGCTGGGTGAAATAAACTCGATATATCAGACTAATGGACGTTAATAAATAACAAACACAGAAAAAAATTCTATGTAAGGCGTTTTCATCCTTGAAAAGAACTTCACCGAACTAAAAATGTTCTTGGAATTTTTATATGTAGGAGGAGGAGACGGGGAAATATAAGAAAATTATAAGATCATTTACAGTTCCATAGATTTGGTTCCATTTTGTCATTCAATTGTCCATAACCATTAATATAAGAAATAAAAAAAATCAATTACGTTGCTACTTCTTTTATTGTTTTTCCTTTTTAAAAAGAATTTGGGATTCTGGACGAAAAGACTTGAATAGCGTGCAATTTATATCTTCGCTTTTAAAAAAAAAGGTTTTATTTGATAGAAAGTGTCCTAGTTATCTGATTAAATGGACATCTTCAAGGACGAAGCCAGTTTTGTTAAGAGGCCCCAAAATATCCTATTTTGATCTTCTTTTGCTTAGGTTTATTGAGCATCTGATTGGATTGACATTTTTCTATTGGCCAAGTCAACGTTTACTGTGTAAACTTTCATTTTTATTTTTGACAATAAAGATATATTGTGGTTGGATCGATATATGAGTTATATTAGAGAACATATTTTACTTAATCCAAGATCTTATGCTTAGAACTTTGTTTTACATCTTGAAATAACATTGTTTTACAATAAACAGTTAGTTTCATAATAGACGTTCGTCTTTTTTAATGATAATGATTAGGTTTCTAGTAAATTTAACGTTTGATATATTTTAATTAATTTTAATGTTGTATTCAAAAATACGACATTGCCTTATTAAAAACTGTAGGAGGAGCCATAGATCCACGCAGGGCAGGAAACCCAAAAGATTCAGAGAGACGTAATGGGATTGGTTTAGCTAATAGGTAATTAGAATAAAGAGATCTATAACTATAGCCCACGGGCAACTTTGAGTCAGTGTACGTAGAATATCTATGGCTACTAAGTTTGATCATCATAACAAAAATCCAATAAAATTTATCAAATAATGTTCCTGAAACTTTCATGAAAAGGGTTCTATTACATTTGAAAATTAATTCTAACTAAAGAAAAGAAAAGAAAGACAAATGAACCAATCGTGAAATCCGCCATTCGCATTTTTGTTTTTTTATTTTATTTTTTTTTTGTAATAAGAATGTGTTTTACTTTGGCTTTGATTGTTTTTCCAATTCTAATTATTGTTTTGAAAGCAAATCTATCTATCTATCTATCTATCTATCTATCTATCTATCTATCTATCTATCTAAATCTGTTCATGTATCTATCTATCTATTTCTACCTTTCCTTCCTATTTCAGTCTGTTCATTTCTTTCTTTCTTTTGACATTCATATCATCCTCACTCTCTAACCATATCCCACACAAGATTATAACTCTGACCTTCTTCGCTTTGCGTCAATAAAATAATTTATAGAATAAATTACTCCAATTTAGTTGTACATTAATCAGAGACATTCTTGTTCCAGCACGATCCTTCTTCGTCTGAACTTAGTACGCTACATGACTAAATATGAGGATAAATGAGGATAGTAAAAGTTCTGTCATTTTACCAAAGCTGTCCGTCTCTTTAATATCTGGGATTGAACACCAGTGTCCTGATTAGGTGGGAAACATGTAACCAGTGTCCTGATTAGGTGGGAAACATGTAACTAGTTCAGCCACAAGACAAACTACATTCATGCTTCGACACGTTTCACCAATGAAACAGAAAATAAAACGCAGTTAATGACAAAATGATAAACAAACAAAAACAATCCTGTCGACTCCAGATTGCAAGAATGTTGACACACGAACGGGTTTTATTTATGCAGGCATTACAACAGCAAGCAGACATCTTCCAGTTTCTGTAAGTTGCCCGCTGATGACCACAAGATTTAAAAAAGTAAAATGTTTTATTTAATATTTCAAACCAAGTATCACTTTTAAAATATCACCACTATAAACTTAATCGCAAAAAAGGCATCCAAATTTTACTTCGCAATAATACATATTCAGTATTATTTATATACCAAGAAACATATGTAAGACCGTATGACGTTGTTAATAACAGCGATAGAAACATGTTTGAACGTGGTTTTTGTAATATATAAACTCCTACTCAAATGTGTTTCGAGTCAGTTTACTATGTGACGGCATTCAGTCAGTGTTTGTCAGTCATAAGTACTACGGCTGACTTACGAAGCAGTGGACAGGGAAATAATATTATTGTTAGAAGGTTATTGTCTCACGCAGAAACGATGTCTCGAAGGCATCTAAATAATACATTTGCACAGTAAGGCCTGAAAGAACGTTTTTGCATCACAAGGCCATACTTACAGTCAACAAAAGTCGTAAAGATTTTGATATTCAGTTGTTTTTATTACTATAAACGTTACTTTTAGTGGATACCCATATTTGAATGGACGCTCCGTTTATTTTAAACAGTAGCAAGCCTATCTCTACTCCATTGTGCAAACTCCATTGAAATCTTCAAAGCTATACTCCTTAGTTCCCCACAGTTCAGACTCTTTGCAGCTAGGACCTCCGCCAATGTCCCATACACAAGGTCGAAGTATTGTCATTCCTTTTGCATTCTATTAGTAAGAGAGAAGTTCCATGCAGACAGCTTTTTTAAAAACCGCTACTATGTGGACCAGACTCCTGAGAGGGTGCTTCCTCATTCAGAGCAATTTTAACCTCTTCAAGTCTAGAGTCAACCATTATCTACTCTACATATCTTCATAATCTGTAACTTACGTTTTTCTCTTACCTCTATGAAACGTTAAAATTGATAAGCCATTCCTTTTGCTCCAGACAGATTGTAGGTCATTATTTAAATCAGCTGCCAATTTGACCTTATCCAATCGATCAAACTTACCATTATGACAGGACCAAATAGTTATATATCCTATTATTGTAACCTGGTCTAGGTGGTGTTCATACCAGTTTCTTTTCCGAAGAAGCATGCAGATTTTCCAGAGCAGATATTGACCCATTCTGCCATGTCGAGTTTTATATTCGGTAGATGCTAACACCGTGCAACCAGATACAAAAGTGTCAATTGTTTCTGCATATTTATCACAGAATCTGCAGTTCGGGTTAACACATTTATTTGGTAATTTCTAGTTACCAAGCATGGCTCTTGGGCAGCAAGAATAAAAACTTCGGTTTCAACTTTTAACTCTGCGTCACGTAACTATTGATGGCTACGGGGTTTGTCTGTATCAACTTGTTTGGCACGGGCAGAATATTGAGCATGAAGGAGCTTATCTTGCCATCGTTTCTACATTTGGTACATTGCTTTTGGTTTTGGTTTCTTTTTAAGTTCTCTGTCACTGCAGTCGATGTATTATGGTTTATTTGCACTTCTTCACCGACTTGAAATTCCCTTTTGAATTTGTTGGCTTCTTTTATTACTGAATAAAGTTTCTTATTTCTTTCATGTTCTTTGATACAGATCATCATCCAGTCATCTGTAGTCTGCAGATTTCTTTGAAGACTGATTGCTAGTTCTAGTTGAATTAATCATCTGCCTCTTTCGGATCTGGACATTTATTTGCTTCCCAGTTTTTGTTTGTTTTTGTAATTTCATTTGGTCAAATTGTTTTACTTTCTGTTTTACTCGGTTGGCGTAGATGGTATTCGCATCGTTTTTTGTTGGTAGGATTTCAGATATATTAAACTGTTTCTTGGAGAGTGTAGCTTATTTGTTGATGGAGTGAATTTGGTGTTTGACTATTTGTGTCATTAGTTTTGGTGAGGTATACTTTCAATCCTATTGTTGTAAATTTTAGAGTTAGTTCAAGTAGGATAAGATCTCGGCCTTCTAAAGCTTTTCGTACGTACAACCTATCAATATCTGATTTTGGATAGAGCCTCTTCATTTGGGTAAGCATTTTTTCTGGTCTTGGCGTCCAATCTTTTAATGTCATTCAACTTCCATTTAATAATGTTGAAGCTGTATGTTACTACGGGTATAGCTAAGGTAGCCTTCATTTTATTGGCTCGATTAAGTTCGCTTTCTAATATCAAACGCACACTCCTATAATATTCTTTTCGGATCTTTTTTCATAATCGAATCCTTCACCAATTCCTAAGTATTTGTATGTACCATCTTAGTCTAATTCCTTAACCTTGTTATTGATATCAAGGTCTAAATCTGTAGTTTTCGTTAGTTTACCGTCTTTGAAGGTGACTTTGGCAGATTTGTCGATTCCGAACTCCATCCTAATGTCTTCGCTGAAGGTTTTGAAAATGGTGAGCCATTTGGGACATTTTTCTGGGTTTATGATTATATCATTGTATGCTTGTGCGAGGTTTTGGTGGGTGCCAGATAGGTTTTTTATCCAAAAGTTGGCTATTTGGTTATTCCTAGTGCTTTCTAGTTTTGGGTTTTGCAGATGACATCGGCGTTATCAATTAGCATTGTTAACGCAAGGATTTTGTTAAGGTTGACTTACATTATTCTTGGTTATATTTTCCCATTTTTGCACAGGTCTAACTATCATTTTTTCTTGTTCTCATTGGATTCACTTTGCATTGAGATTATATTCATTTGGACAATTCCAAATATTCTCCCCAAACTTTTGCAATTCTTTAATAAATGCTGGATTTTTGACTTCTATAACTTTTTTCCAATTTCCCTGTAAGACATCTTGAGGTCCGTTTGAAATATCTTATTGGAGGTTTTGACAAGTATTTTTTTTATAGTTTTATAAAGAAAAATACCTGAAGATATTATTTCAGTAAAAACCTTCTACAATATTAAATCAGAACATCTTTGAAATTTGTCCTCAAACCATGCAAAAATAAATCAATAAAAGTAAAAAATAAATGTTGTTGGCAGTTGATGCTTGCATAATTTAACAATACGCATTTTCTGTCAGATTTGACGGGAGCAAAACCTACAATAAATGTTTATATTTTAAAAGTTTACCTGTCATTTTTAAATATGATTTTGAAATACTTTCGGTTACTGAAGATAAAAGATTTTTAATAAATAAATAAATATTTAAAGAATAAATTTGTAAAAATGAATCCCATTTTCGCATCAGAAATATTTTTTTAAAGAATTTTCTTTGTTTTTGCAACAGTTAAATTAGTTTTCGTACGGAAGATCAAATAGAAAATAATTTCACAATTCTAAATTTCTTCCATATTGGTTATACAAAGGTACAAATAATTATGTCTAATATCTGGAGATGTTTAAAATATTTTATGATATTAGTAACTGAAAGAAAGCAAAGTTAAGGTAACCAATAAACAGTATCAATTCAATAAATCTTTATCAATTCTCCCCAGTTTCCTTTTTTTTCTTTTATAGAAACGATTTTATTTGTCTAATACATTTTCTTAAAATAATTAAAAAAAAAAATGATTCAGTGCAGAGAAAATAAAGAATAAATGGCAGATATTAACAAGAAGAAAGAATAAATGCAAAGGATAAAAATATTTTATAAAAATATATTATTATTATTATTTTGAAAAAAATATTTTTACATTTCTATCAATATAAAAATATTCTAAGTTTCAGAGAGAAATAATTTTATTTATAAAATAAAATATATATTCCTACCTTATCAACCTGAAGGTTAAATATGATTATTATTTTGAAGTGGATATTGCCAAAGTTTTCTGATTATGCCCATCGCTGGGATCGCATCACACACACACACACACACACACACACACATACACACACACACACATATATATATATATATATATATATATATTTATTCCTGACCGGTAGTACAACTTTGAGTTTCATGCACAACATAATTTTTAGGTGCTGAGTGTAGACTGATCGTTATGTAATTTAAATTTTGATAAAAAATATCTAGTTAGCGTAATTATGGAACATCTGGAAGTACAGTCTTTGTTTAATTTAAAAGTAAATTTGGCATTTAAAATAGACGGGACTTTTATTCTATATACAAAAACAGGCCTTCCGTTTTAAAGTTGTGATTATTAATTTTATATTAAGCATAAAGAGAGATTAATGGGTTATTTGACATTTTTTTTATAAAACTTTAGTTAAAACCTAAGAAAGAGAAAGGTTACAATTTAAACTGAAAATTAATCTGGATCAACGTATTTCAAGAGATATTTATTTTATGCTAACATCTAACCATCAATTCATTTCTCTTGTTTAGTAAGCTAGAGTTATTTGTATAAGGCATAAATTACATCGCCTTTCCCATTAAAACATTTGGCTTTTGCCATAATATCCCACATAATAATGGGTGTATTACCATAATTCTTTAATTGCCAGAAATGTTTTTAAAGAGCAGTGCTGTTCATGTATATTACCTAAAGTCATTTGATGATGATAAAAACGCAATTTATAAGGATTTTCAGAGGAACCAAAA